TTGAGACTGTGGGTTGTTGACATTGCAAGTGAATACAAATGTCCTGCTGTCTTCATCTTTCATGCCGGGGGAAAGACAAAAACATATAAACACACACCTCCTTGCCAGTCTTACAAGACTGCATACACAAATGTGGTTTATGTACATTATCTTTGCCTCAAGGCCCAATGACTCCTCAGTAGCGATTACACTGTCAAAGCAACTTAGTCTTCTATTACTCATAATGTATGAATGAATAGAGCAGGCAATTTTTCTTCATTGGAATCTTAAGGATTTTGACTGAGAGACAGCAAATGTTTCATATATTTGCAAACAAACAGAGATGGCCACTTGTAAAAGAAACATACAGAGCCTTACAGAAGTTATCTGTAGCAACTAACTTTTCAAAGATTCTGTCATATTACAACTACAAGCTTTAATGCATTTAATTAAGACTTAATGTAAGAGACAAAGACAGTAACAGTAATAACGACCCCCCCCCGCCCCGCTTACTCTGACAGCTCAAAATTAAATCCATTGCAAATAATCGCACTAATAATCGCCAAATAAGTGAATTGCATCCATCTGTGCTGTTATATCATAACAAATACAGCAGCTATTTGAAGGCCTTAGAGAATTTTACAGAAAAAAAAAAAGATGCATCACAGGGGCCCACTGCCTATGAAAAAGACTTTGTTTCTTAAACAATCATTAGCAGTTGGAGTTTCTAAACATTTTGTTTTCATTCCTATATTTTTCTTCACCTATTTTTCCATTTTTCAGGTTTTGTTTGACAGCTGTTCTCCCTGAATTACTTCTATGATCTGTGAAGTTCTTCCTTTGATTGAGTGGATTATAACCCTTTCTGTTACATAGCACAAGGAGTAGAAAAAAACTTTCATTTACGTTTCTGTAATTAATTACAATTTGTCTGTTTCTTGTACTTTACTAAGTAGTTTGAAAAATGTTAACTATTACCTGGGTAGGTTTGGATTTAAGTATTTAAATTACTTACATTTAAAATATATCTGTTATTGAGCGAGGAAAAAAAACAGTTAATAATCACATCATTTCACATTGGCTAAAGCTAAAAACAGAGGACGAGGCACATAATCAAGAGTCTATTATGTCAAAATAGACATCAGCACTAGTGGATATATTAGACAAAGGATAGGAAGATTCTGAAGGGAGGAAAGCCACTGGTCCATAGATATGGGTAAGGTTGCGGAGGTTTTGAAGGATACAGATAAGGTGGAAATTAACAGTTTCAGAGAACCATAAAGAAAGTAGCTGACGAAAGAACAAATATAAATATAATTTGGTCAACAGTATTTAGACACCTAATTAATATCAAGTCTTTAAAAGAGCTTGTTGTCCATTGTGAATTGAACTCTTGAGTTAATCATATTTAAAAAGCGGAAATATATAGCTCTACTCTTATGTATGTAGCTCTTTTAGCCACTTTGTACACTTGAAATTGTGTCATGATATTCCTTCGTGTTCCCCTCTTCAGGGCTTGGTAAATTGCTGCGGAGGGCTTGCACGTTGGCCTTGAGTTTCACACATTTCAGATCTTTTTAGAACATCATATTAGGAAAAAAACAAACAAGGCTGAAATAATAATTTTTTAACTAAGGAAAGTACCAAAAATAAGAAAGCAGAACACATCACCCCAGTTCTGAATTAGTAACCCTGGCTCCCTGTATCACAGGGAATAGACTATCTATGTTAGTCTTTCAGTGACTGAATGGCTTTGCAGCAAATTACTTTACAGACTCCTTGACAGTGAATCAACTGCTAAGATTGCTGCATAACGCTTCATAACTACAATAAAACCTCAAAACAGAGAAACAACTTTTAGTTCCTATGCTCCACTAATTTAAAATAGGTTGTCAACCAAGAGAAAACACGTCTTTGTTTAGAGGGGGCTTTGACTGTGCTATCTAGGCATAATTAGGTAAATTTGCAGCACTTTGTTTCAGCTTCAGTTTTTGTTAAAGCATTTTATAAATAAAGTTGATAATGATAATGATGATGAATATCCATCCATCTTCCTCTGCTTATCCGGGGTCAGGTCGCGGGGGTAGCAGCTTCAGTACGGAGGCCCAGATGTCCCTCCTCCCCAGCCACTTGGGCCAGCTCCTAGGCCAGCCTAGAAACATAGTTCCCCCAGCGTGTCCTGGTTCTCCCGCTGAAAGACGTGCCTGGAACACCTCACCAGGGAGACATCCAGGAGGCAGTTTATGATGATGAATATAGTTATCTCATTTTATTATTCATTTATATTATTATTACTTATCAATGTTAACTTTATGCCACTGCAATGTACTTTTAAATAATCTTACAATTTTCATATAGAGCACTTTGAATTGTCTTGCTATTGTAATGTATCCTATTTCACATATGACCAGAAGGAGGACCAAAATTGCATCTTGTAGAGGTCGTTCCCATTTTGTTTCTTCTGGTTTGAACAAAGAAATCAAAAGGCTAAAAAACAAACAAAAAAAATAAAAATAAGCCCCTATCCCACTCCAAATTGAACCGAACACCAACACATGTTAAAAGAAATAAATAAATAATAATAAATAAAGTTTTCTGATGGCTCCTTTAAGTAAAATGTGATTGAAATTAATGTAGCTGTACTTGAATATTTTTGTTTTATTTCTTTCATTCTTTGGACCTCTGGATAGTACCAACTACTTCATGGTGTTATAAAATGTCCACCAGCAGGTGGGGATCAGTGGTATATCTGGAGTTGCAATCATAGTATAGGAGGTCCTCACTGAGATCATTAAAAAGTCAAAGCTGCAGGAGACAATTCCCCAATTAATTTGGAGCTGTATTTGTGACTTGGGTTGTCACAATTTTGACCAAAAATAAACAAAAGATTTTCTTGTATTTCTTAACTATATATTTCTTCAACTTTATCCATTTCATAAAGTAGGAATAATATACATTGAAGTTTGCGAGTGCCTGAGTGTGGGGAGGTTCTCCAGGTGTTCTCATCTACCCTTCTCTGGTGAATGCAGTGTCCAATCCCAGTGATCAGAACTGGGGCCGCCTACACCTGCTATTAAGCATAACTTCCTTCAGAAGAAGCTTTGAAAATCCTTCATTCACGACCATGCCCATGCATAAATACCACCGGAGTTAGGTTCCTGGCATTCACAGATACACACTAATACTAAATACTAAGCTGGAGCTACAGATACAGATGCCACACAGAATCATATTGTTTAATCACCATAGGTTTTGCCTTCCACACACAAGGGATACATAGTACTCTAAGTTTTTTCTTGATGTTTTTCTTTGTTGTCTTTTGTTCTCTTTTTGCTGATCTGTTCTTTTTTATTAAATCTCTTCTCCTACAGGTGTAAAGGCAGACTTCTAGGAGTTACTGTGAAAGTTCTGTGTTGTCTATTTTCGCCGTTTTATTTTCTCTCTTTTCATGTACTCTTTCCTGTCTCTATTTCTTTCTCTCTCCACTTAGTTCTTATACCCTCTTTTTTTCTCTCCTCCCTTTCTGTCTCTATGTACTTTATATTCAAGTTTACCCCCAAAATAATTTTCAATAAAGTTTCACACACAAAGTACCAAGTACCAAGCAGTACCTTATGGCAACAGCCACAATGGTCTAAATCTGTTGGGCTATCATCTAGCTTTAGGGCATCGATTCCCAGAGCTATATTGGCAAAACAGGACGCACAAAAGAGAAGTTCCTGAGTGCAATGTGAAAAAATATGAAACATTTCAAAGGGTATGTAGCCTATACTCTTTGCAAGACACTGTAGAACAAGAACTGTTAGGTGCATATGCATATTGGAAAGTAAAAGTTAGCATTCGTTTACTATCAGAGTTATGCTGCCTTACATAATTTGCCTCTCACTGAGTAATGTGTGCGAGTGCAGCTGTGAGGCAATGATGTTCACAATTTCGGCCTCTGCTCCCCGTCAACATTCATCATAGGAAAGGAGGCTCTGGCAACTGCATCACTTACCTTTATAGGCCCACCTGACAGCACTGTACAACCCACCATTAAATACACACAATCAGTAGAGTGTGTGTGTTTGTGTGTGTAGGTGGTGGGTTTGGGGGGAGGGGTGGGGGGGGGGGTATGTAATTGAGTGCATAGTAAGTGTAAAATGCCACACAAATCTTTCACTGTCGTTTGTGACACATATAAGCAGTTTAATAATTTTCAAGGTGAAAAGTGAAAAGGTTTGTTGTGTTTTTTCTTTCTCTCCTTTATTTCCATATGCATCATATCAGAATGACTTGTCAAATGACTTATTAACACCAGCATTCTGCCATGCAATGATAAACCTGGTAATAAGCCATACGTTCCAGTAAGCACTGCAAGGAATGAGAAAAGATTCTTAAGAAAACCATTGGGGACTTCTCTTGCTAATTGTCCTCTTTGTAATTGCAGACTGCGCCACTCCCTCTGACATGGCTGCATCATCTACACGTGGAGTAAGAGCTGAGTCGTGGGATGCATGTACCTACACACTGTTACTCAGAATAAGACCCATGAGGGGATTTGAACAATTTGACTGTACAGCCCCATCATCTTACAAAATCATAACAGCCCACAGGCATCTCTCTGCAAACATCTATCTTCAGTACATGTCCCACTAAATCCCTAAAGATCCACTGTTCAAAAACAGTGCCCTACACCAAACTCAAATTACCACAAACATGAAAGTCTAGACGAGTCCTAAAAGAACAGTGATTACTGCTAACAGAAGCAGTGCAAAAGAACGTCCTAAACAGAATGTAGGCTGGCTGTTATTGTGCAATAATTTCAAATCTGTAGCAGTGGGTGTGATTGATTGACTTTGCAATCAGGCAGACTGTTCTTCAACTGAAATCTAGAATGACAGTTTTAGTTTAATGAACAAGACCAACACAGTTCTTCCATCTCATTAGCAAAAAACCTTATAGTACACATTGATACAGCAGACAGAAACACAGAGTGCACATGTAGACATTCATAGATGATTGACTTAATGCAGAATTACCTTTTTGTGAAGATACTGTGGTTCCTGGAAAAAGAGCAGAGAGAAAAAATGTTTGTACAAGTATTCTGCAGCACAACGATGAGTATGCATGATCACATTACTGGTGCTAAAGTAAACCATAGTTTTCAAATGCTATAGAAGTTGTTAGACTTTCTTTTATAATGCAATGCAATTCAAAGGTCAAACACTTTAGAGCCAGCAAATGCATATATCAAAATGTAGGAAATTTATATAAATTAACTCTGAAGTAGCTTTTATGCTTTATAAATTATAACGGCACTGTCTATGTCAGTAAACAGATAAATTATTATGTTCTTTATGAAACAATTTGCCGATGGAATCTTGAAAAATATATGTGTGGGTAATTATTAGTTAAAAAATAAAAATGATTTAGCGAGTACTTTTAGTACAAAGAGCAATCAGCAAAACATCGGTAAGGTTGATGGAAGTATGAATGGAAATATTATTTTATTAAGGTACAATAAAGGAAAATAACAAATAAACAACCAGACCTCTAAAACATAAAATGAGTGTATTTGGATTTGTCCTAGGGTGCCAGTCTTTCATGTTTCCAAAAACTGCTCTTAGACCACATTTCTCCTGACTTCCTTCACATTTGGTAAAATATTTAAATAAAGCATCTCTAAACATCAAATTCAGTTTGAGATCTTTCTTTCAATATTTTGTCATTTGTGGAAATTGTTTATTGTCTGAATATGTCAGACAAATATCCTAGACACAAAGTCAACTGAAGCCCCAGAGTGACCAGCGTTTTCTTCGGCTGTGCAAAGCATAGGGTGGCACATGCTGCCTCTTCCCCACATGTTGCAGTGACAAGATCAGGTCACTAGTAGGATTCTGGAAATGTTGACTGCATACTGAAGAGGTAATCCAGCCATTTGATCAACGGGAGGAATTAGAGAAACATTCAAAATGTGCGTGACCTCCAGGACGTCTAGGGCCGTAATTGAGACTGCACTATAGTGTCACTGTATGTTGAAAATGATTTATCCAATGTGTCTACTACAGACTGCCAATAAAAACAAATGTTTATTAGGAAACAGGGAAACAGAAAATTTTGATTGTACTACATAAGCCAAGAAATTGTGAAAAAAAATCTCTATATATAGGTAAAAAAATCTCCCTCTCTCTCTCATATATATATATATATATATATATATATATATATATATATATATATATATATATATATATATATATATATATATATATATATATATATATGCATACATAAAACATCCCATCTCGGTGGATGGATTTGGGGTGTGTCCTGTACTGAAAGAAATGATCAAACAAAGCTGTGGCTAATTAAGATGGAGATGTGTCTGTGGAAATCAAAGCAGTGTGCTGTTGGATGGGACTAAGTATAAGGACCTTTCACACTTTTGTTTTGCAAGGTGTTATGGTGGATTTCTGCAATTATTTGCACGTGGTTATTACATGGTCTGGCTGTCTGCTATGCAACTGCCTATAAGCTCCGTCCTTTTGTATTAATCTAAGTGAAAGCTTTAAATTATTAGTTAGTGGAGCACCTTCACAGCCCATTGCAGTCAAGCTCATGGCTAAATAAAAATCCTATGTTTTTTTTGTTTTTTTTTTAGCCTAAAGGCTTAAAAACTCTCAGCTCCACAACATACAAAATATTAAATGTCAAAACCAGAGCATCTTACTCTCTGTCGTTGTATTTTATCAAAGAAACACGGTTGTTTTTTTTGGTCTGTCTGTTATTCTTCTAACATTTTTTCTCCCTAATAAATTGTTATCACAGGGCTGTTAATACTTTTGATCTGGTTATTTTTGGTATATGTTTATTTTTAAAATTGTATTAAGTGGAATTGAACGGGAAAAATATCCAAAATGTTTTCAATGTTTGTTATCATTTTAGAAAGATTTTCTGCTGTTGTGGATTTATATTCAATGCCAACCCAGGTTGGATGCCATATTTAAGTTGTGATCAACTGTTATATTCAGTTCCCAGGCAGCTGGGAATTTTTATTTCTGATACCTTAAGATGTTTGTTGCCCTCCCCGGTAGGGGTGGTAAATATCTTATTTAATCAGATATCAGCTGTTATATATTGTTTATGAACGCCCGGCTAGCTGTGTGTTAGAACAAATACATGAAAGAGTGATTCAAGCTCAAATCATGGTCAAACTGTTAATTCTGCACATACATGGAATAAATTCACCACAACTTTTGTTCAAAATATAAGAGTGTATTAACAAAAATCATTCAGCTCCAAGTCAAACATATTTCAGTTTAAAACTCTTAACTAAAACTAGTAAAACTCAACTAAAGTAAACTACAATGTACAAAGAGGAAGGGGAAACATGGTTAAAAACCATATTACAGTTTAGGATGAATTTTGTGTTTGAAAACCAAAGTTTAGGAATTTCTGAAATGATCTGATATGGTATTATGACTGTTTATTCACCAAATGTGTATTCTCTTCTCTGGTCATCATGTCAAGATCAAAAATGGACAATGGTTCCCAAAACCATGATCATGGCATATGGCACAAAACTGCTTATTATTTGTAATGAAATAATGTAAAAGTTATTTATGTGCTACTGCACATAAATGATAACAAGGAAATCGCTTCTCATGGAAATTAAATCGACTTAAGCTAAAATTAGCTGAACTTTGACAAACATGATTAGACAACATCATGGAAGGTATAGAATCAGAATCAGAGAATCCACTGTATAACAACATACAAGACAAGATAAACCTCTTGTGTAGATGGTGGTGTCTTTGTCATGATTTCTGCCCTTTCTGTACTTTATGGTTCTGTTTAAGTTTTCTTTTTGAGTTTGCAGTTGCTCTATGATTTACAGTAGTAGACATTCAAAATGTCCTCACTTTCCTTGATGGGCCCTTGGCTGGTTCTTGGCAGTTTACATCACAATGTAAATGTAAAGGTGAATATGAACCCATCAGAGCGTTGGCTGGAGACTTAATTTTGAACTGAAAACAAAACAATATCAATGTAATAATTTTGGACCAAAGAATGACAGATCCAGAGATCTGCACAGCTTCAGCTATTATAGCTAGAAACCATTGTGTCCATAATAACACCAAGATTTTGGCCATAATCGGACCTGAATCCTCAGAGGCACATTAAAGCAGTTACTAAGTCAGCCTTTTACCACCTTTTGTCACAAACTACCAGCTTCATCTAGGTTTGAACTTCGACTGGGCCCTTAAAACAAATGCATCGGTTTTAAACTTAGTATTTCTACATGTGTGGTCATTCTCCTGCTAAAGTAAACCTACAGCCAAGTGTTTATATTTTATTTTTTTTACACAATGGCATAAGTGTCCTCTAAGATTTTTCAACATTCTTCCCTTTCAATAAACCAGATTCTGTTTTACTACAAAAAAAAAGCATGCCCTCGCCATGATGATGATGATAATTTAAATGATGGTGTGTACAAAACAATGAGCAGTATTAGTTAACAACTTCAGGTAGCTGGTTACACTAAATTTTATTTCAATGTCACACTTAGGAAGTTGAAAATCAATGGACAGCATACTTGTTAGATTTTTTAGAAACTAACATTTAGAACCACAACAGTTCCTTGCACATCACAGTTGTGCACTGTTTTTGTTTCTCAAACACTCTAGTGAAATCACATTAAGTTTCTGGTTGGAATGTGAAAAGAGTCAATTAAAGATCAAGAAGCATGAATACTTTTGAAAGAAGCTGTAACATGAGAGCAGTTGTGAATGCTGTTACATCCTGAGAGCCTATAGAAGAAAATGCCTGCGTGAGTAGTGTGATTTATGTTGGCACATTTACAATGCTATTTGTTAAATAACTACTTCACATGGGGATTAATGAAATTAACATCGTTTCCCAGCTTTTAAAAAGAGCACGTTTACTGCAATGGCAGCTGGCCAATAGAAAGCGCTAGGGTTCTGTCCCACACCCAATGACAGTGATTAAGACATAAAAAAATATAGATTTTTTTACAATTTCATTCTAAATTAAAATGTAAAATATTTTGAAATATATCGATATATATATATATATATATATATATATATATATTTTTTTTTTTTTTTTTAGATGTTTAGGATAAATGTTTATTCTATAATGACTAGTAAAGCGTCTTTCCATTTTTTTTTTTCGAATTGGCAACATATTTCCGCCCTAGGGCGCAAAAATCTGCCCCGAGTGACAGGAAGTGTATTTGACCACCTCCCACCACATCACAGACTTTTTGCGGGTGATTGACAGGTCGAGTGGCGCGGGTTGGAGATAGATTGGAGAGAGAGAAAGAGAGAGAAATGCTGCAAGAAATTTTCTTCTTCAGGACCTAGTTTAGCAAAAAGGCTTGGCTAGCAGTATGTAGCATTATTCTACTTTCCCTGCCTCGTTTTTCAAATGTCAGGATCTGACCCAGCATGGATAAAGACCGGTAGGACTGATTTAAAGCATTTTTTTTATACAAGGCAAAGAAGAATGAAAAATCTGGGATTCACATGGAAAATAATATAATACAGTGTAATTTTTCTAGATGTTTATTAATTTGCATAGTTCCTCATAAATAAACACATTCTCAGAAAATAGTTTTTATAAAGTGTTTTCATAATGTTATACTGGTGTGTGATAACTTAATATACATTTGATTGGTTTTTAGTATACTAGCCTATTTTGAATTTATACCCGCCCTGGAGAAAACTCCACCAGCCGCCACTGGTTTACTGTGTTTATACCCAAATTGTAATTTTGTTAGCAATAGTCCAAATAGCAATTAACTCATCTGAAAGAACTTAAATTTTAGCAAAATTTAAGACTTAAAAATGATCTAGGTGAAGGCTGTGTGGTTACAATAAATATATGAGGTGGTGATCCACAGTATATAGCTTAATTTGATTTAATAGCCATATCAGCACCAATTCCATCTCATCTGACAAAAGAAACACTGTAACTTCTGAGAAAAAAATATGTTTTAAAAGCACTTAATGCCAGAGAGAAGCAGTTGTTGTAAAAAGGA